AGGTTCATTCCGTTGGAACACGTAAATCAACCGTTACAAATCAAAACTTTCTTTCTTTCTTTCAAAATTGTAATTATTAGACTGTTTCATTTACATTAAAAAATCGGAAACGTAAAAACATCAAGCATTAAACATAGATGTTGTAAACATCAACTTTAAAACAAAGATGTTTAAAACATCGCCATCGATGTCGCATCCCTGGGTGGGACGCCAATACAGCGGATACGAGTCGTCAAACCACTGTGCGGGGACTCGCAGGTTGTTGTAGAGTCGCTATAACATGTTCGCAGAGGCTTGTGTTGACATAATGGGATTCCGGTCCATACGGTCTTTATACACGGTCCTCCCTGGGGGTGTGTTGGTCGACCCGAGCTTGCACGATGTGCATGGGGACGCGCATGTACCCATTGATTACACCATTGGCTACTGTGGCATCTGAGTGACACACATGCCTTGCAATTTCACGACCAACCAGCCTCATGAAGTCCCACAAGGCGGTCTCTGTCAAATGCAGTCAATGTTTAGATAGTCTGTAGAACGTAGCTGCGTGGCATCGCGGGTGCTTCTTACTGCAGGTAAACGTCGTTCTTCACTGTCTGACTCAAAGCAGTTGCCTTATAACAACTGCATTACAACAGAGCTGTGACATCACGAATGCACTCTGGTGGGTGTTCTACTCATTACAGATACGTGTAAATAAGCATTTACTCACACATAAGTGCTATGCATGAATAACAAAATGGGATAATATTGAACCACTTCTTCTGGGTGCATCAGACCGATCAGACCAGCCTGCCTCTAGAACTGTCCTCCAGACAGTTATCGATTTCTAACTAGCTTTTTTCCTCATGTTCGCTATTGCCGAAAATCTTCCACCTTCGGGACTCGAACCCTAGTTCCTCGCGGCCAACGAGGCTGCAGAAGAAACTATGCTGCTATTGAGTCATTGCAGACCGTCCCGGTTGGGTGATTTTATCTCTTTGTAATGACCCTAATACACATTCAGTGTCACAGTTAATTATTTTTTTCTTTCCGCCCATCGAGAACACGGCGCCTGCCTAATCCTCTTAAAACAATCCCAAAGGCAGCAAATGAAACAAAGGATCGGCGTTCATTCCTTTGTTTCGCTCGCGCTTGTTGGAAGAGTTTTAATGGAGCGCACAAGCTCCCTTGTCCGCCCTAGTGCCAGGAGAACGAGCGGTAAAAATTCATTGGTACGAGCAGATTGGCATGGAATGTTTGTCGCGACCGTGAACTGCAAGCATTTCCCGTCAACGCTCCGAGCCCCCCTGTGTGCTATAAATATGGTTTGAATCGTGTAAATGTAGATTGTGTGTTGAAAGCAGAAGTTGGCATTTAATTACAATTTAGTGGTAAATATTCTCCTTTAGAAATGTCCAATGATCTAGAATCTTTAATTTTGTTTAGAATTTTCCCCTTCCGTACATTATGTCCTGAACGTTTTTAATGGAGACTATTGTATTCACCTCTTCTCCTTACGGACAAGCAGATGCCACACTAAAGAGCAGTGTAGAAATTAGTTTCCAATAATGCGGTAATATGGATAACGTTGTCTGCCGTTACCTAGAAGCTCCGTGTTTTGATCAGAAATGTCAGTAAAAACGTTCTAAATCGTACTAATAAGGATGTAGCTTTGTGATGTTTCATGCATACTTGCCATCGTAAGGAGTTCTAGTTTGAGGTGCAGCGTAGCAGGTATGCCACATTGAATGAAGAAGATAAGCACGGTCTGATTGGGTGATGAGTTATTCAAATATAAATTAAAGCGTAAGAAATATAGGCTGTAATTGCACTGTTTAAGGAAGCATCGTCAATTACAATATTGGTTTACTGAAATTTGAAGAGAGAATTTATAAGAAATTGTTATTCGTTATATGTTTAATTTTAGGTAAGGATATAATTTAAGGCCCTTTCAGTTTTCATATCTCCCGAAGGGAAAGAATATTAGAAAAGTGATTTGAAACATGTAGGGTTTCATTCATGAATCCGCAATTAATTGTGGCTTAGAGCACCTTCACATGGAGCCATCCCGGAGCACTCCTGAATGGTGCATCTACTGTCAAAGCATTGATTTAAAAGGAGGCATTCACACGGCGCAGTGGCGCTGGTTTCTAGTTGTGTGATAACACGGAGCAGCACTAGGTAATTTTTTCTCATTGTTATAAACAACTAGAAAACAATATTCTCAAGGGAGTAGAAATACTATTTTAAGATATATGTACACCCAATAATAATTATGATGATACTGATAATGACGGTGAATAGAGTTGTGATATCAACAGAGGATATAAAAAGATCTATAAAGAGAATCCACAATTGAAAGCTCCAGGAGCAGATGGAATACATAAATTTTGGGGGAAATATCTGACATTCAATCATACTATTTTGGCGAGTCAATTTCAAAACATTTTCAAGGAACATCTATGTTGCTAGAATTTTGTACCTTGGGCGTGACATTCATGTTACCGAAAGGTGAAAATGCGCCATTGCCCCGAGCGTTATAGACCTATTACAGGTCTGCTAACAATTGATAAAGTTGTTGCCTCCATTATTGTCACCAAACGTGATGAGTATCTGAAAGAACAAGACTGCTTTTGCCGGAACACGTTGGTTGTAGAAAAGGATCTCGAGTATGCAAGGAATTATTGATAATAAGTAATATTGTATCCAAGCATGTAAAAAAGAAAACTCATAATTTGTCAGTAGGCTGGATTGGTTTCCGAAAGGCAATTGATTCCATTCCGCATTCTTGGTTGCACCGAACCCTTCAACTGAAGGTTCACCCCTCTATCATTAATTTTCTTACAATTTGTATGAACAGTTGACGAAGAACATAACATGTTATGAAAAATAAATTGAGTTACCAGGCAGATTGTGTGCAAAATTGTAGAGACATTTTCCAAGGAGATAGCCTAAGGCCGTTCTTTTTTGCCTAGCATTGAACCCTTTGAGTAGGGTGCTGAATGCCTTCAGCTTTGGATATGTTTTGAAGAAACCCAAGAAGATGATTTTTCTCCAATTATGTATGGATGATGTTAAGCACTATACTAAGGAGCCGGAACAACTTCGTAGAATGCTAACACTTGTTGAAAGCTTCAGCAGCTCTGTTTGCGTGGCACTTGGTTTGGAGAAGAGTTCAGTTGTTCACGTGAAGAGAGGTCGCGTCCAGAAACAAAGAATGAACCTCTTTTGACGGAAGATTTAAGAATTCAAGAACTCTTCAATGGCGATGACTATAAGTATCTATCCCTCCGGCAGCTCCTAGGAACCGTAGATGAGAAAATAAGAAAACAAGTGGAAAGAAAGGTTCTCTCTCGTGCTACAAAAATCTGCAAGTCCTGTATTAATTCGAGAAACAAATACATTGGAATTAACACCTGGGTTCTTTCAGCAGCATTTCATACATTTGGAGTTAAGTGGTCTGAAACACCGTTGCAAGCTTTGGATAGAAAAGTTAGAACACTTTTATTAAAATATCGGATGCATCATACTCGAAGGTCCACCGAAAGGCTATAGACACCTTAAAGGGCTGTTAAATGTTGAAGTTATGTGCCTCCAGCAAGAAAAACAGCTCAGAAATTATTTCTCCAAAAATGGCCATGACGGCCATCTGTGCACAAGAGCACGGTTATACACTGTCACGGTTATACATTGTCAACAATTGCAGAAAAGAAAAGAAAATAACTGCCACTCTCACTGTGTTGCTGGCAACCACCAATATTGTGCGTAAGGTTCTTTCTCTCTTATTGAAGTTGAACCTGAGTGCCCTGGAGCAAGAACTTCTCACCATCTGTCTCATCATATGTGTTGACATTCTATCCTTGAGTTATATGTAAAAACTCCGGACGAGCGTGACATTTCAAAAAAAAATAATCACAATAAAAATAAAAACAATAATAATAATAATAATAATAACAATACATAAAAATGACATTGAAAGTAAATGAGAAAAGCATCTTTTTAGATACCTGTTCGAATAGTCACAGTGATGTGAGGTTTTATAGTATTGGAATATTTTCAGGCTGTTTGGACAATAAATTCCTGTAAATATTTGACTTTTGTAGTGAGAAAGTTATGTTGTCTGCATTACTTTTTTAACCAACTTTTAACATTTAGTAAACTTTTATGACGGTATTGTAAACTTAACTGTATATATGAATGATAATGCCAAAGAAACAATTAAGACTTGGTGCAAGTGACATTTTTTGAGTCACAGTATATGTGTAAGAAAAGGTGAACAAGTGAATTGACATATTTTGGTCACACTACGAGTACTCGTATATATGTAAGAAAAGGTGGAGACTCGTTTGTGTTTATATTCTAAGTAAATGTGTTTATGGGAACGCATATGTGTAATATATTAATGATTCATAGAAACATTAATGTACGTATATATCTATCTCTATATAGATATGTGTATATGTATGTACACACACACTCACACATTATATATATATATATATATATATATATATATATATATATATATATATATATATATATAGAGAGAGAGAGAGAGAGAGAGAGAGAGAAAGAAAGAGAAAGAGAAAGAGAGTTAACACATTGGCATACAAAATTTCTGAAAAAAATTTTTAAAAAAATTGTAAATGTTTCAAGTTTTAGAGTTTTTCAGATAAACTTTCCTGATACACTAATAAGCTGAAACTTCCATTACTCTCTATTAGGCCCAAAGTAAATGAGACAAATTCTGGTGAACGATGAATTAAAAAAAAAGGTTTTTTGAGACCCTCTATAATAGACGAAATTAAATACAAGTCATCCAATCTATTTTAAGTTTCCTGAACGGTACTGTCAAAGTATACAAGTAGCCACCCGGATTGACAATTATTGTGAATATTTGTGTGCGATTCTCGCTTGTTCTTTAGCTTTTTGCTCAAGGAAATAGACATTTGAAGCTCTTTAAAATTAAAAAAATTACGATATGCCATTATATTCATAATACTTTTACTATTTTTTAGCATCACACCTGAAGCTTCATCGCTCTCCAATAAAATTCTTTTGTCTTCAGAATGGAACTCTGCTCGTCCTGGGCCTGTTCCTAAGCGCTTTGGAGAAAGCGCAGGTACAAGGGAGAGAAGAAGATGCCAACCAGTTGACGACTGTTACCACTGAGAGTACATTTTCTGGTAACTAACAAGAACAACTTTCTAAGACTCTTTGTAAGGAACTTCGTTGCCTCTCTAGTAAAATTCAAGCTACCACATTATATTTGCTAATCTAATGGTTTTACGGATTTCATGAATGCCGTGGAGATCCGGTTTAAAGTACAGTGTGCATCAACACTACTTGCTCTAGCTGAACTTTGCTTAAGATGAAGTACAAGAATGGATCGGCAAGGCTCTATCACTGGTATGTACAGTTGACTGCCGGAGTTTAGTCGCTCAAGACTAATTTGTATAACTGTGCAAGACTGGTGAAGAATGGGAGCTGGAGAGCCATATCCTTTGCACCAATTGGTTAAAGGAGCACCATATTGCTGACAATCATATTCCTTGCTTTTTTCTGAATAGGACGTAGAGAACATGGTGGTTACGGCTGAATATAACAATGAGTCTGGCATTAATCTAGGTGTTATTCTTTTTGGTACAAAACGTAAATTATGCTTATCTTGCTCTTCAGTTAAGCGTAGGAGATTCCTTGTGTGTCCCAACGTATAAAGTTCTATCAAGAAGGGTTACTCAACTGTGAACTTTAAATCATTCACAATGACATCAAGAGAACTGATAAAGCTGTTGAAGTGCTGTCCTACAACATGGAATTCCCCTTACTTCATGTGAGAGACTTTTGAAAAATTGAAACACAACACAAGGTATTTTAAGTGGTCGAAGTGTCACCCTTCTGTGAATTGCTCTCCGCCTGGAAACGAGTGGAAGTTATTGGGAAATATTCGAAATGGTTGTTAAGATAATGAAGCTTTTACTGGTAGCGACGTCAGTTCTTGCCTCTGAGAGCACACTCACCGTGTCTTTAATGAGGCCAGTCGTTCACTCCATCATGAAAACCACTTTGCCATTGAGAATGTTACAGTTGAGTTTAAGGAAAACCTCATAGAGGCTAGAGGAGAGGTATTCTATAAAATCAAACGCGTGTCATGACAAAGAATTGCCCAACTTGTTCCCTAGATTCTAGATATGAAGACTTATAACATTAAATCAAAAATGACTGGGCAAATACAATTGAACTTGTAAAACTGAAATTGGCGACATTTGATTACTTTGATGTACCCTTGTCCCAAGAGGACTGAACTAATAGTTTTTAGTCCTCTGGCACTGCCCTCCACCAGCACTGCATCTGCGTTACGCTTCTTGTTCCAAGCTAGAAAAGGGCAACTGGGAAAGCCTGCTAATAAGATACATGGCCGAGTCTGCATTTAATCATAATACTGAACCTCTCAGATGATGACGAGACAAATTTCCCACCATTCAAAGGAGGTGCCTGAACATTCCAATCTCATCGCGCAGTTCGGAACGTGCCTTTTCCACGGAAAGAAATGTTACAAAGAAGAGAATGTGCCTTTAGCTTGAAAATGTCAATATGCTGGAGTTTTTTTCACCAAATTCAGGAGTTGTTGAACTGGAAGCAAGAACACATGTAGAGTGTAAACAGAGAGATGAAGTATCAATTTTCAATTTCTAAAAGAGTTGTGATCATTGTGATGTATTTTTTCTTAAACTAATATAAGGAAAAATAATAGTTATTTTTTTCTTCTGGGTCTCATCGTTTTTACTTTTACTCCCTATACGTTTGTACAGAAAGTAAAAGTATTGAAAAGACCTCATTAAAATGATTTCGAATTTTTAGTCGTGAAACCTGTTTTTAAGATTCTCTTGAGCTGTAACTTCGCGCATACGTCTGGGTAAAGGTATATTATTACTGTATAGGTGTTGTGATGCGTTATCTGCGACTAGGTAGTCGTTTTGTGGCTTCCATCCAGCAGACAACTGATGATGGCTAAGACATCGAAAACTGCTCTTATATTAAATACTATTGTTGGCAATGACAACATCTATAATTATTTCATATTATTACTGCACCAAAGGAAAGGAAGTACTGTTATGCACCCCAAAATGTGGATCGATTTTGAATGGATGTGTTGCATGTGATGTGACTATCTGGAACTCATATAAGAGCATTGTATGTAATGCATTGCAATGTTTGTGCCATGGAAATAGTTGTAACCCAGAGAATTACAATTTCAATATTAGACTGTGATGAGAAGACTAGAAAAGCTTTCAATAATTGACATCGTAGAGAAGAACATCCAATAGATTTTCAAATTTGTTCGACAAATTAGAACGCGAAAAGAATATTGTACAGTAACCGTGTTAAAGCATATTGTGGGTTGGGAGGAAATATTGGTCAGTGTTTTACAAATACGGTAGAAGAAGAAGAAATGTTGATAGATGAGAAATACTAAGAACACGTTACTAACAGAGGATCGGGCAAAAGCAAGTACATTTAACATATACTGCAGTTTGGTTTTCACGTACTATAAATCCAACCACATTCAGATAGTGAGAGAAGCGGTAAGAAGTAAGTTTAATATAGACATGAGTACATCGCGAAAGCGAATAAAATCAATGAAGGGTGGAAAATCGCGGTGACCAAACGTCATTTCTACTGATATAATTAATCTCAGCGGGCAGAAAATTGTATATCTAATAAGATTATTTTGTATCTAATAAGGTTATTCCACCAACAACTCAAGCGTGCCCGAAGATTGGAAGCTAGCTACCGTTATACTGTGGGATCATATTGAAAAGTGGCAATTGCGGTATCGATGTCATAGGAGGAAGAAAGGGCTGCGTCATTAGCTAATAAGGATGTTTCAGAACAGAGAGGTAGAAGTATGTCATAGAGATATAGAATTCAACAGAAGTGGCCCGAAATCGCTACCTTGTGGCAGTCCTGCTTTAGATGGGTAAAGACGGGGAGGTCGAATGTTTATCTGGACTAAAAAAGTCTGTTGCTTAAAAACTTTAATCTAATGCTAGCTTACCTCTTGTTTTTCAGTAAATGGCTGGTGAAATTAATTAAAAATGAGGTATTAATTACTAATGAATTAGTGTTAAGTATTGGTAAATGTTTGGTTATGGTGCGCTACTGGTTGTCAGTCAGCTTCAGAGCGAAGAGGTGGAATGGTTGGCTCTGGCGAGAGGGAGAGGCAACGAGTCAAAAGACAGAAGAGCCGAGAATCGCGAGGCAGGTGCAATGCAGTGAGAGAATGTAAGCTGTGAAGCTCAGATTCGAAATGTGGAATCGCGTGCTGCACAGTCAGGATAGACACTGCGTAGAAGCGGGTACGAAACATACATTCAGCAATCGCACGGTTCGTCTCTACAGGAACGCACAGGCGTGGCACTACCGCAGAGTCGATCCTCGGCTGTAGCTATTGCGGCCATGCTCAGCTCCGGAGCAGTTTTGTCGACAGTTGCATTGGTGTGAATGTACTAAAATGGCATACAGTAAGCATGAACAAGATATGTAGATATTGAAGCCATATTTATTTTTTTCCAAATAAGATTGGATAAATAGAAATGAGGAACGAAAGCATAACTTATAGTTTCTGGAATGATTATCTAGTGTGTGATATTTTATGTGTAAGTACACTTATTGTATAAAATTTATATAAAAGTTGTATAAATCTTTGAGTTGCAGTAAACTGATGTTTTACACTCTATTATGCAAGCACTACTATGTTTTATAGTTCATTATGATTCCCCGTCAAGTAGAAGCGGATCCTTACAACCTGTTATCGAATGTTTAGTGTTGGAGGCAAGTACTGTCCGCTCGTTAACGCTGTACACGTCTCGGTCGACACCGTATCTCATCTTACAGTAAAAGAGGAACTACGCCACCTCTCAGAATACATGCACTCTACTAACGAGGCTAATAACCAGCAGTTGACTCGCCCGTTAATCAAGAATGCCCTGTAAGCCGACGTGCAGCGTGTCACCGACTCTCGCCATCCAGCTGTGAAATATTACCACTATAGCTGTGAAATAATACCTCTCGTAGTAAAGTTCACTACACTAACTGGTCTAATGACTCAGGGGCGGATCCAGAGACACATTTTTGGAGTGGAATTTTAAAATGTTTTGGTCGAATGTGTCATACAAGCTGCAATAAGATTTTATTCATTTTAATGATAATTCGAAAATAATTTTGCTTGAAAGTTTCGAGACAAGTAAAAATTAATACTTACTGAAAAAAATTTAGGAGAGGAAGTTTCTTTCACCCTCCCCCAGGATCCGCGCCTGAATGACTTCAGCAGTTGACGTTCCCGGAAAGATCAATCAATCCATTTTTATAAGCACGCTTTTCTCGCAGTAAAAAATGTATGAAGAAATTAGAAGCCAGTTTTGAAATTTCGTTTCAAATTCAAGGAGACTCGGCAACAACCACATCGATAAGAGAATACCAATTTATGTGAAAATTCTTCCTACCGTTTAGCCATTGGCGTTGTTTAGACGAATAGGGATTGACAGCCGGGCTGGCTGCTGTAAATCAAATTTTAGGTATCAATAATCTACAATCGCGTATTCTGACTACACAATTTGTTAGAAGTTATGTACTGATATAGAAAAAATAATTCCGTTTTTCGGTATCAGGGACCCCCAAAATCAATTTTCTTCATCGAAATCATTGCAATACTTTCTCTATTCTAAGTAAGTAGTGTGCGAGAAAGTAAAAATTAAGAAAATATACATTTTTTAAATGGTTGCACGAGAATGGAGCGTCATAAACGAAATCTTCTGTGCTTTCTCGACATATACAATATATACGATCGTGTTATGTTATTACAACTGTGATGAGTAATATCACGAGAAACAATTTAGTGGTAATATTACTAACGAACGTTTGTCAAAAGTATTAATGAAGATTATTCTTTTTTCTTTACGTTGTAACTCTGAAACTGTATTTTCGTTAAAAAATTATCTTTTGAATTCTATTTGAATTTTCGACGCTTCTTTAGGATTAAGAGGATTTTGCAGAAGATGGCTAACGTAATAACAGGATACAAGTTACGAAATTGTCTAGAATATAAATTAAAATATCATAGGATTACGTAACCTTTGCAAATATTACAAGAAAGTATATGCTGTTGAGCAGCACTAGTTTAATTAAATTTCC